GCAGAGGTACATCAAGCTTCCTGGCCGCAAGGCTGCTGTCGTCAAGAATGTTGGGCATCACCAGAACTCTGAGGCGGTGTTCTGCACCACACGACTGCTGCTAGTAATGGCACGAAAAAGCATGACGTGTCACTCCGTTGATGGCTTCAGAGCTGGTCGAGTGCAGAGCTCGTTGTCGTCATCGTCACCATCATTATCACCATGATCATCATCGTCGTCGCAATCACCATGCAACACAACAGCCACTGTCACGGAGCAGCGGAAGCATCCGACGCCACTTCTGCTCACCATCATAACCATAGTCATCATCATCATCAGCAACAACGTCATCATCATGCCATTATCTCGATCACCGTCGTCATCATCATCATCGCCATCATCATCGTCGTACTCATCACCACCACCACAATCACAGCGACGGCAGGCCCAGAGGATTCCCGGTGACGCCAAGAGGTCATGAACAGCATCACAGAAGACCCAGGGATGCCTCCCACTGTGAGGATGCTCACGGCTTCCAGCACGGGCCTCGGCTCTTCACTTCAGTAAATACCAATCAAAATGATAATGATGATGGGTCTGATAGAAACAACTATAATAACAATGGGTCCCCTATATAATACATATGTATGTATAAAGATATATGTATATATACATATGCATATACATATACATATTTGTCTGTACATATACATATACATATACATTTGTGTGTGCATATATGCATATAAATACATAGGTGTGTGTGTACTGTAATCAAACAACTCATGCTAACAGTAGAAGTCTAAATCACATTCGCAATCGTGCGCATAATCGAAACCTCATCATAGTCATAAGAACCACAAGCATCACATGTATCCATGTCATCATGCTCCTCAAAGTCGTTCTCGTCACAATCCGAAGAACCGTGACAATTAAAAGAGTCATCAACTAATCACATTCGTCATCGTCATCATGATGAAAATAAATCAATAGAACCAAAAAGACAAATGCATACTAGTAATACATTACAGTTGCCACAACCATAACCATATTCACAATCGTAAGTTTTGAAAAGCAACATAAACATAGTCAGACACACGCATAAAAGGCATCGTAAGCAGAATAGTTCCAGTAATCAGAGGTAACCGAGCGAATGATAATCAATCATCATAACTACTGAGTCAAGAAAATCAGAAACCTCATAGTACTCATAATGCCACAGATAGTGGCAATAGTGTATGGTTTGTCTCATGATGTCTAACCGTATACGGTAACATACATGATGACACACATCGGGCTTCGGAGTTGAAAGTAAAGCTGTCCCTGTCTTCGCATGGTCTCAGACCTTTCATTCCTGAAAAGTCTGCGGGGAATGGGATGGCCCCCTTGTAGAAAGTTTGATGTTCCCGGCAGTTCACACATGTTCCCGGCAGTTGACGCAGCTCCAGTGAGTCTGGCCATGTATTGCTGGGATGGAGCACGTGCAAAGCTTGCAGCAGTTACAGGTAGGTGGGTGAGGCAGGCAGGCAAGTAGATAGTTAGGCACAAAGTCGTCGACTCACCTTGGCTATCTCAATTGCATGCAATTACCTGACTCTTCTCCTTCTCTGGAGCTCTGCAGCAGTTTTGGTAAACCCGGCACACACAGGCATAAGATCCCCAAGAATTCTCCTGAGCCGCCACCTCCCGAGTTGCGAGGGCCCGGCGGCGGCACGAAGTCCATGATGAAGAGCAGAGGCTTCGCAAAGTACTCCAGGACCTCACCGAAGCTGAAGGAAAGTAGCCGAAGCACGAAGAGCAGCCGTAGCAATGGGAGCGAAGAAAGACTAGTAACTTACTGCCGGTGAGCATAACATCAAGGATACCGAGACAGCAAGAATGATTCAAAAAAACACTTGTGAAATCAAACAGTCACGCCAATAGCGAAGGTGCCTTCAGGAGCGCTTCCAGCGCGTCTAGCAGAGGTCCTCGAAGAAGCACTGCTGCCACCTTTGGGTCGTTTTAGCTCCGACACCAGCAAGAGGAAGAGCTGCAGAAATCCTACATTTTGCACTCCTGGTTGTAGTGACAGTCCTGTTGCTTTGCCGCCAGAAGCCGTGAAAGTATTTCCCAACTTCTGTTCCCCTTGCAGGGCCTACACCCTGCACCCTGAACCCTAAGCCGCGAAGTGCAGCACCGTAATCAGGAAGAACCCACTGCATGCGCTTGTGCTCAGCCGCCCACGGCGAATGCCGCTATGCCCAGCAAAAGACCGCGCCGACCCTCCTCACTACGCAGGGAGGCGCCCAGTGACCGGCAACACCTGCCAGTTGCTTAGCCAGTCCACAAGGCCCATGACCAACCCAGAGGGCTCAAACTTCGACCGCTCTTGCGGACAGTACTGCACTAAAAGACAACGGCGGCAGTATGCTGCAGTGGCGATACTGACACTGGCACTACAGTGCTGCCGAACATCGTGAACCTCAACGTCCCAAACATGGCATTCATTGCTGCAGGCCCCTTTGAAGCGAGCAACGGCCGGCGCGGTGAGAAGCGGGCAGGCATCCTCCGACAGCATGTTAGGGCGTCGGAGCAAGGAGAGTAGTTGCTGGGCTTTGCGTGCGTTCTGTATTCTATAGACATATGTCTGGCAACATATGTTGTTGAATCCCAGGTAATCCATGCAACCCTAAGCGAAGCGTGGAGAGCAGCTCCTAACAGTCTCGAAAGCTTCCACGTATAAGTGTTGTTAGAAGTATGGTAACCATAATATAAGTATAGCCAATTTATGGTACTTATTATAACCCCCCTTATAACTACCCATGATCAATCAAGCAATCTCCAACAGTGCTCTTGGTCCTCAGACATACGCGAGTAAGCGGCACCTTGCTCTTCATCCACCTTGCACCACCCAGCACAAGAGATTAGGTCTGTGAATGAGCCTTCAGGGGTGATGAGGGCGATCCCCACCACAGGTATAGCAACAGTAACTACTGCTGATCATGAAGGAGAAAAGATGAAAATCACGATCATCACTATGGCAACAGTGTTGCTGTCGCGTTAACTCACTAGATCTCAGGATGATCGTCGTCACAACCCTCTGGACGCACTGAGAGAGAACTCGCCTCTGGACCTATGCGTTCCGTGCCCCTCGTCCATGGCGTGCCGAAACCGATGTCACCGTCCCAAAACTCTGCTGCTTACGCAACTGAGGCGGCAAAACCGACCCTGAAGCCTCACCTGAGCCTGAAATCCTCATCGGCAGGTTCCCTAAAGGGTGTCTATAAGGGATCTACAGTAGGGTTTTCTATATTAGGGGCCTCATTAATAAAACAATAGTAATAATAAGACTACTAATACTAATAATAATAATACTAATAATAGTAATAATAATAATCCTCCTCTGCTCGGTGATCTGGGGCTGCGGCTCTCGGCCTCGAACGCGGCAGATGCAAGGCAGATGCAAGGAGCATCTACGGAGCTTCCTACCCTCTGCTCGGGCTCGGGCTCTCTCCAAGTTCCTACTTGCTTTAGCATGTATACATGTATACATATATATGTATATGAACATACATGCATACATAAAGAGATACATACATATGTATAAATACATACACAGGTGTATATATATATATATACATATATATCTGCATATGTGTACAATATGTACAGGTATACACACACCTACAATACATGGTGACTTAGTGGATATGCCATCCTGCCTTGCCGTCATCGGCTGCGCCTTGCCTCAAAGGCGCTCCTCGGATTTGGGGGATTCATATGGATTTATGTTGAGGCTCTGGGCTTCGGGGTGAGCATGGTCTTGAAGGACTGGGGACTAGATGGGCGGATCGATACTGTGGTATCGCAAAATACCAGAAAAACTCTTCTGGAACATGGCAGGCACGACGAGAAACACCTGGCAAGTTAAGACAGCGTCAGCCCTAAACTCGAAACGACTAAAAGCCGGTAATCCTTCAAAAAGTGTCCCCCGCAAAAGCTTCATGGAACCCTCAAAGTTCCGCAAACCCGTAACCACCGCAAAATGCCGGACTGGCAGCCGAGCCACGCCGACAGCGAGGCAGAGGAGCCGTCGGAGCGGCGATTGGGGATTATTGGGCTTGCGATTTGTTCGCGAGGTGTGCGTGTTTAGGGCTTGCAGCTTAGCTGCTTTCGGGAATTTTCGCGGCTTGGGTTGTTGGGTTTAGGGTTGGGGGATGTATCATGTCAGTTGACAAGGTGCAGACCATTGGGGGCTTCAGGATTGAGGGGCTTGCAGTTTCACCATTTGCGGGGGTGGGTGTCTAGGGCTGTAGGGGTACCTAAGCCTGCGCACTTTCAAGGGCCTTGGGCAGGTTCGCATCTACACTGCAGTTAGCAGCGCAATATCGCATCTGCAGCCCATGACGTCAACTACATTTGGAGCCCAAGCTCGCTGCCAAGGCACAGATCAGCTGCAAAAACGGTGCACTGATGTACAACACATGACACAAGTTGGAGCAGGCTGGCGATGCCTTTTGTCACGTGTCCAATCGTCCAAGACAGGAGATCTATTGTAAGCTGCGCACGTGGCTCGTCTGGATTACAGCCATCTCGCCTTTGGTTGTTATGTCCAGTGGAAACTGACGTCTGTAAAGGGTCAAACGGATTATTAGCAGACCACCATGTGCCTGCTTCTTCTCTGCGTGAGCGCATGCACACATTGGTTGGCAAAATGCCAGTATAGAGGGCATTCTAAGAGTGCTCCCGGCTTGAAGCAGTCTAGGGCCTCTGGGGCCTCTTGGGCCTCTGGGGCCTCTGGGGCCTCTGGGCTAGGGATCCAGGGAACTGGCTCTTTTAGGTGCCGGGCTTTGAGGGTTGGGGGGCCCCCCCAGCCCGGGGGGAGGGGACTTAGCTAGGTTATTCACAAGTAGGGTTATCACCGGGGTATCTCCATTTAGGGTACTTATAGCCTCATTTATGACCTACTTACTAAGTCCCCTGGGGGCACTTTCTCAGAGCAAGCAGGCCGCTCCTGTCTGCTCTGATGCTGACGCGACGTATCAAAACCGAACTCTCACGCGAGCGCCGCTCAACCCTGGGACTGCTTCACCCACACCTAGTTCATGGTTGGGATAGGATTAAAAAATTCACATTTTTAGTCCTTGTTGGTTTAAGAACCCATAAAGATGTAAAATGTTACCCAACTATGACACAGACACATCCACCATGATGGCCTGGCCATTCAGCAAGCTCCTTCCAAGGCGAGTGTCTTCCAAGGCAAAAGTGCGGGTGCCAAGCTTCCTCGCCCTGAAGCAGAAATTCCCACGCGGTGCAACATGCGACGTGCGCTGACATCCTCTACCCGTCAGAGCATGTCCGCTAAACCCAGTACTGAATGTCTACCGGGAGTGCTGAATATGAAACCCGGCGGCGGTCCCGTTGAGCATGGTGATGGCATTGGCTGCCTCCTCTGCCGTTGAGAAGGACACGCCGCCGGTGCCGGAACCCTTTCCACTGAAGCACTCGACCCAGGTGGTCTTTCCGGCCTTCAGACTCCAGATAGTCACAACAGGTGGAGTTGTGCCGAGGTACATACTTCTTCAAAGATTTACCTTCATCTATCTTCGTGACTGACCTTCAAGCGTTGCGATCTGAAAGACCCAAAACACCATCTACGAGACAATCCTCATCTAAATACCGATAGAAGAACCCAATTCCAGTACCCTTACAACACCATTCTGGCTGCAAGCCGCCGGCCTGGTTCATGTGGTCCTGCAGGGCTTTCCAGGAGGTCCCCTCTGCCAGGTTTCCGATCCAGCATTTCAGGGCCGGGTCGACCTTGAGCCCTGAGCCCTTGCCCTGCCAGGGATCGAAGCTTCAGGGTTTGAGGGTTTGGGGCGGCTTTTGGGTTCAGGGCCTTTAGGGCTTGGGGTTTGAGGGTTCGGGGTTTAGGGGGGTCTCGGGACGAGGGTTGGGGCTTCAAGTGTAGGGCTAGCTTGAAACAGCAACGCACCTGCTACTGCAATGCCATGCGATCAATGACTAATAGTAGTAGTAGCAGTAGCAGTAGCAGTAGTAGTAGTAGTAGTAGTAGTAGTAGTAGTAGTAGTAGTAGTAGTGGTTCTTGATTAACTCACAAACACGGAGAGGTTGAATCAAGGTGCTGGGTTCTACAGTACGCGGCAGTACACAGCTGGCAATCAAACAGCAGCATTCTGTTGCTGCATTGCGATCTTGGTTCTGAAGAAACATGGTGGCACCCTTTCACTGGCAATGCAACACCTTTGTCAAACAAAGGTCTGTAGTTGCACAGAGAACTATACATACTGTATGCTGTGCTGAGCAGCCATATGTGTAGCATGATGCAGCACTGCATGCAATACCACTGATAGCCCGAGAACGCAGGGTACTACGGTTGACAATACAAACTCTGCATTACCATTATGATCCTAGACTATGGGAAATAAAGTATATTCCCGATTACGGGTGATGCAGGATATATGTCATCAACCGTATCGCTAGGCATCGCTCCCTTCAAATGACCCCCGGAGCGACCGGCCTTGCCCTTGCCCCATTTCATGAACCTCTGGAGCGAAGCTGTATGGTTTAGGGTTTAAAATGGTTTAGGGTTTAGAGTTTAGGATGGGTTATGGTTCAGAGTTTAGGATGGTTTAGGATGTTTAGGGTTTAGGAGTTTAGGAGTTTAGGGTTTAGGAAAGCAGCTCGGGCTCCTTCCAACACATCTCACTGCATGCAGCTGAGACGCATGGGCTGCCAAGGAGACCCCCATCCGCCGCCGCCGCCTCCACCGAACTTGCCTTTACCGCCCCATCCGCCGCCCCAGCCCATGTTGGAAAGGCCTCTGCAAAGCAAATCGAAACTTCTTCAAGCACTTGTGGACCGTGCAAGCACGGTCGGGTCGATCAGTTGTGAACCGCGACTTTGGTTCCAAAACCAAGTACATCGAAACACCTGTTGACCAAAGGATCATGTCAATGCACACAAGCTTCGCGCCTTGCTGATCCGTTGGGCAAGCAAATGTTGGGCCGGCAAAGCTGCGAATGCACAATTGAAATTGTTGAGTTGGATAACCACTGCAGAAACGATAAAAACAGAATACGTGAGAAAGGGATCGGACAAACGTGTCAACGAATGCCGGCTTGTTTTCACTACAGACTTTGATCTTTTGCAGAAGCATCATGCTCTTCTAGTCGTCGAAGCACACAAGATGTTGCGGACGTTCCTACTGAGCCTAAAAAGCCAAAGCAAGCTTGTACTTGCGACGCATGCAAATGGGCAAAAACTTGTCACTTGTCTTCGTTCGATTTGAATTTGCGACACACATTGAGTGACCATAGCTGTGAGTTCATGAAACCATCTCGAATTCAAAGTACGATGCGTTGCAAGTCATGGCATAGCCCCATTTCGTTGGCAACAGATTGCTGAAAACACGAAGCATGAAATCCTGGCATAAGGTGAAAAGCACGAGGCAATTCGGGCTCCCTTCGTCGCAGCTTGCAGGAAGCAGCAGTGCATCGATGGCTGGTAGCGGGCTGCCGCTTCTCTTGGACCACTAACCATTTCGAGGAGGCACGACAGGCGGCTCAGACAAAGTCGCTGGCACAGCAGCTCCAACAGCTGCTGCATCCGATGTGCGAGACATTTTACAGGCCACGCAGCTTCAGGGCCCACAAATTCCAGAAAGCATCTTTGCACAAATGATTTGTGCCAGCCAATCTTGAACCTTGCAGTGGCGTGCTGCTCTTTTCAATAGAACCCTTCCCAGCTAATGCGCCAAGTTTGCACACCCGACAGACCCTGCCTTCAAACCTATTTGGCGCGTTTGGAAATCCTCATAAAGCTTCCCCACTGTTTTACAAGGCACACTTTAAAGAAGTCAAAATTTATGCGCAATGGATGCTTTGGGGGAACAGGGTTTAATCTCCAAATTTCGTGGCTCCACTGTTTTGCATCTGAGTTGCTACTGTCCAAACTGTGGCCACATCCAGAACTTCACTGCAATACGCTGGTTCCCATTGCAGTCATCAAAATAAAAAGGTGTTGCGTGGTGTCAGGGCACTGTCATGGACATGTCTTGCCGCGAGGCTTAGAGCTTGCGTGCAGAGATGAAGGATGCTGCAAAATATGACTCGGTATGACCGCTCAATTCTCTATCGGGTCTTTTAAACAGCATGACTGAACGAAATTACAAAACTACGCGTGACAAGATTTCAGGCTTGCACTTGTCTAGTGAAAGTACGTCGAAGCTGACATGCACTCAGCATGTCGGTCCCATGATCGCACAGGTGAGACTTGAATCCAAGTTCATCACCCAGTCTACTTCGCTGCCACGAAAGCAGTCATTGCAGCAACGTGTTGCCGCACGGATGGAAATGTGCAACCACTTGCCAATACATGCAGGACCACATACTTGCTGCCTAGGAGACTGCTGCACGTCAGCTGTTAAGACGGCTGGCCAGTTTTCGCATTTCTTTTGTTTGAGCGGATTTCGGTGGCAGCAGCTGCGCTCAGCCCCATTGTTGCACTGTTGCATCGAGGATGAAGCTTGGAGTGCCTGTTCCCGATTCTCGTCTCGTTGGGCGCACACAGCTGTATTACTGCAGCTCCAGCAGACCCAAACACTTGCGGGCGCTTGAAGGCTCCTGAGGCCAGAGTTTTTAACAGCGAAATGCACCTCGAGTCTGCAAGTTGCAAAAGAGACACGTATGAAGCAATCCAAAACTCCGATTGCATGATGGAACTGACTTAAAGAGCAAAAAAAAATTTAAAGGAGATGAAGGTGCTGCAACCTCCGTCTTGCAACGGGAGTCGCGCAGTTAAGTGCATTTCTCAAAATCTGTAGCATCAGCCGACCTTCTCGACACCATAACTCTGCATGGCTTGATCTGCTCTATCAGAAATGCAGAGTCACCTGTGAAAAAGATTCCCTGTCTTTGTACGATCTCTTTTTTGGTTACCTCGAAAGCTGCACAATTATGGGGCTGTCGGGCAATCTGTTTAACGCCCGCAAAACACAAGCAATTCTAGCTTTGCCAGGTCGGCCCTCCATAGTTGCATTCCGCTGGCTGCAGCACCCTTAAGGGCGATGTGCTTTGGACAAGTTCCGACCTTCCAAGCGGCCTCCAGACCCTCCCCAAATCATTGCAATCAATGACATGCGCAGCTGACAAAATTCACCCGTTGTGATGCAGGAATCAAACTGTGACCCCCAAAATGGGGCCGTCTCGCGGCCCCAGATAAGAGGCCGCGAAATGCAGCCAACCTCCTTAATTTTATTTTGACAGGCAACCAGAGGAAAATGACAAACATCAAGGCGACCCGCCCAGGCAGGATTATTCGACCCGACAATTTGAAGCCGCGTGCTGCAGCAGCGGTGTCGGCAGCACCAGTGGCTGAACAGACGTTCCAGACGCGGCACTTTTTCCTTCTTGCCTGAGCTGCAGGTGCAGCCTGGACTTGCTTCACTAATGTTTGGGCGAACACGTCGTTACATAAGTAAACCGGCCACTCGTTGACAGACCCACCGTTCCATCAGGAGATCAATTTTCATCGATCGACGCCCCAAGATGAAAGCGAGACTGTTGATTCGCGAGCCTACGGCCCGCAGCTCGAACGATCTTAACTCTGAAGTGCTTGAAAAACGGGATTTAGAAAAGCTTTAGGGCGCGGTGCTTGCGAGCAGCTTTTTTTGGCGGGGGCGGACCTCAAAGACAGTAGTTGCTGTACGGTCCTAGCAAGACGCGGGTTCCTGCCAACATAACTTTGCCTCCATGGCCACCCGCAACAGTTGGAGGCGCACCAATCTCTGACTCCACTAACCTGGCGAAAGAAAAAGAGAGAGGGAGAGAGAGAGAGAGAGAGACAAAGAGAGAGAAAATGACCACTAAGGTGAAACGGGCTGCGACTTGCAGACTCTGGCAGGCATCGTTCAGCCCTGGTTATGTTTCAAATAAAGCCGCTTAGAAGCCATTCTTCCAGACAGATGGAGTCGCATTATTGCATACTTACGCATGCGAAAGTCCACCTGCCAGGGACGTTGAAGCACCCATTGCGCTCAAGGCAGGACAAGTAAAAGTGCATGCGTTCTGTCCGGCACCCGAAATGGCTCACAGGGACATCGAAGCTGCAATATTGCAGTGCGTCCACATCTGTCACCCTTGCAGGCAGCGCTTTTGCTGTCTTTGACAAAACAAGTACTCTGGAGGCCCCTTCACAACAGCCACCACAATCCTGACAATTTTCGGACCCAGAAGTGGGCTTGTTGGAAGCACTACAGAATCTGAACCTCGCCGCCTGCTTCAAAAACTTCGATTATGTCTTGGCCTGCTCCGAACGCAGTCATGACCACACGAGCCATGCAAAGCATTGCCAAGATCCGGCGTGGCAGGAAATCTGTGGGAAACCCATAGGAAACCCCAGGAAACCATCGGAAACCAGACCGGAAACCTTCAGAAACCCTTAAGAGGGAACAGATTCATTTTTGAGGAGCATATCTATCTAGAATTCATGGGAAACCATAGCAGGCCATAGCAAACATGTGGAAAACGCTGGGAAATCATAGGAAACCGCAGGAAACGTGTGGGAAACCCACAGGAAACCACAGGAAACCATCGGAAACCAGACCGGAAACCATCAGAAACCCCGTACGAGGAACAGACTCACTTTTGAGGAGCATATCTATCCAGAATTCATGGGAAACCAAAGCAGACCACAACAAAGGTGTGGAAAACGCTCGGAAACCTGGAGGAAACCGCAGGAAACCCATGGGAAACCCATACGAAACCACAGGAAACCATCGGA